GCATCAGCAATCATCATCAAATGTGATTAAGAGTAAGTTTCACATGTTTAAAGTGTTTTAAAACAGAGTGTGTGTGTAATTAATTACAGCGTTTTACTTCAGCTTTACTTCATAAGCACAGCCGCGTGTCAGAACAATTATAAAAGAAGACGCTTCAATCCCGGTTTGTGGAAGTTAAATCAGGTTTATTTTGTACATTAGCATAACAGATATCCACACTTGAGGTTAGCCTTAACTAGGCTAAGCGCGCTCTGTCTGTCTGCCTGCCTGCGTGTGTGTGTATCATCTGCGGTGTGTGTGTGTGTGTGTGTGTGTGTGTGTTTGAGTGTGTGCGCGCGCAACAATATTGTGTGTGACTCATCAATGCAACTTCACAATACTAATTAGTAAAGGTTAGTTCTTACTGTAGTATCTCACAAACGCTACGTAAGACCTCCTTCCTTTAAGTCTGTCTGTTGTCTGACGCAGCTGAGGGAGGAGGCATGTAGAAACAGTGGGCGGGAAAGAAAAAGCTTAAAGGCACAGTACGACAAAACCACCCCCTGCTGGAAATCAGTATAAGACAGCATCTTGTAAAAGGTATAATGAAAAATCTGATGGGTATTTTGATCTGAAACTTTATATACACATTCTAGAGACGCAAAAGACTTATATTAAATCTGAAAAAAGGGGTAACCTAAGTGCCCTTTAAGTTTATCTCAGATTGTATGCACTTCTGCCTGAACACAACAGGGACAGCAGACAACTTCACTTTACTAATCTCCTAGGCTGAGCAAGAGGCTGGATGGCATGGGAGAAGCACTGTTGTCAATCGAAGCCAACCTGCACTGCATTCATCCTCGCTGGGTCCTCCAATATGTACTCTCACCGCCTGGTGAAGAAGGATAATATGTTGAGAAAACACACGGAACACAGACTCTTTGTATTGAATTTGTTATAATTTGTAACCTTTACACTAACAGTCTGTAGTACAGTTACTTTATATAGGAACCAACGATGTGCACAGTACATATCTTTCCTAAAATAAAGGCAAATATGAATCATACAATGAAAAATGTCTCAGTAATGATTCTAATTAAGGTCCAGCAACTGAACAGGTACTCATCTTCCTTGACACCACATTCAACCACAAATCACAGAAGAATGGTATTGTTGTAGTGTTAAATAGTTAACAGACAAGAGAACTTTTATTAACCTTACGGCTACATTACGTGCATTAGCCAATCCCATTGCTGTTTTGTCATCACGCGGGAGTTAGTTAGCTGTTGTATGTGATGTTAGTTCAGTAGTATGTGTGATGAGGGTATAGAGAAGGGTTTAAATCTCTTTAAATAAAAATAACCGACTACGCCACCCCGGGAGTTACCCAGGGAAATAACTATTAGAAAAAGGACACAGGTTCGTTTCTCCCAGAAAGGCACAGAGACGTGAGTAAATGCAAAGGTACAAAAATATTTATTTTGAATAAAACTGTCAAATTGTACGGTTCTTAAAAGCACATCAAAAACTCCCACTTCATTATTACATACAAAAGAAACAATAAGTAAACAAACAAAACCAGGATTGGAGGTTCCCACTGACTGGGTACCAGTGGACCGACTTTACCCCAGCACACGCACACACCACAGTGCACTCAAATCACGCACTCAGTGTCCCACAGCACACGGTAGAGAAACACCACCACCAGTGGAAAGAGACCCGTCATCCACCGGGGAAAACCTCAGTTCCTGAAATAAATAAAAATAAAAATAAATTACCAACAAAATACATCAATAAGTGGGTCAATCAGGTTAAAACACCTACTTTACATGATCTAATTGAAAGACAGCTACAGCTGTAGTTATACCATCTGACTTACACTAAATCCAAACATCAACTGTTACTCGAAATAATAAAACTAATAAACACACACACAAAAAATAATCTTAATAACGAAAACAAAAAATCAATGTTCTGCATAAATTAAAGACACAACAAAAAGCAGAGCACTACTAATGTTAACAAATCAATCATCCAAAACAAATAAACAAACAAAAGAATGAAGTGGAGCACAAAGCAGCACGCTAAGGATTAATGCAGGCAGTCCCCGTTAACAGCTGCATTGGTGGTGTCCAATCGGTAGCCAATACGCCGGCGTTAGCATTAGCAGCAGTTTAAGATGATCTCCGGTAACCACGGCAATAGCGATGAATACGGGAGCTAATAAACAAATGATACCAGAGGAAGATCCGACATAAAAGGGAAAGGGGAGAAAGAAAAGGGACGATCCTAAGGAGGAAAAGCACAAACAAGCCCATTAACATGGTCCTTTAAATAAATCACACCAAATCATAAGTGCTTCACTTACCAATGGGCGCACAGACACGTTATAATCACTCGTTGGTCGATACAAGAATACAGCGAGGTGCCGGAATTAATAGCTGTACGGCATCAAACACGCAGGTTAAATGCGGCTAAACCCCATTACCCAGCCAGTCAAAAGCCATCACATACCTGCAACTGAACAGTCATCCAGCCACCACAGCCCAGGGAAAAGCCACCGCCACACGATGCACTAGAACAATGCCAAAAGAGAGCTTAACGTGGCTCCATTCAAACAACTTACGAAAAATTATCAGAACGAGCGCAGAGCCTCTACCTGTAGCCGCAACTAGACACCCAAACCAGTGTGTCGGAGTCGGACGTGACGCATCCCAAGCACCAACCAATCAGGTTTCAAAAAGGCGATGCTACGTGCCGATTGGCCGATGTCAATGCCAATCAGCTGCGCGGCACCATCATATTTTGGACTGCTTATTTCAATCAGCTGCACTACACCATCACATATGCTCGCAGGTTCCAGTGTGGATGGTTAATAAACCGCTCTGCACTGGGCAAGAGCATTACCCGCTGCTGTGAAGGTGTTATTTAAGTAAACGTTTAAAATGGATTTCGGTTGTTGTGTGCCCTTCTTCACGCCTCCACAGACACTTATTACACCGATAGTGTCGGGTTAAAAGCACAACAAGTGGTGTCAGAAGTTGAGCTCGTCGGACAATCAACAACAAAGCTGTGAGTGTTTGTACTGCTGAAGACAACCTCTGTCAGTCTATGGACATTATTTGCGGAAAATCGCTGCTGAGAAGTTGCTTTAGAGACTGAATTATACGTTTGTGCATATCTGTGATATCACAGAGTAAAAAGCAGCCGGGCTTCCCCTCCCCCCTCGCTGTGCCACGTGGAGCTGGCAGCCTGCCAAATTTAGCACTGCGTGTGACTGCCTGACAAGTGACGCAGCCTCAATACACAGACCTGAAATTTCCTCCAAAGAGGCTAAATGACTGTGTATACTCCGAATTAGCGACTGAATTGCACAAAATTTATGCAAATTTGAAGAAAATAAAGAAATAACAGCTATGCTCTTAAAAAAAAATAAGAATAAAAAATAAAAAATAATCATCAACATGGAATCAAATGGTTAAGAAGCCCAGCTTGGAGCATCAGCTTCTCCAGACCCCCCACAATGGCTACAAGCATTGCTATCGCAACAAAATAAGCAACTCCAAACTGCTATTTCACCTATGCTCAAAAGACTTAAAGCAACAGAGGCTTGTTTATATGCTTTAACACAAACCAACAAAGTGACACATGATCCTGATCCACATGATGACACTACCACACATTCCACAGCCATGGATGGCACCCAGGCCATGAACAAAGTCACACTGAGCCCTCACAAGCGGGACAACTTTTTTGCTGAAATATGCACACCCTTGACAACACTACTCAAAAAGGGGACTCCCTTCTTCTGGGAGAAAGAGCAGCAAGAGGTCTTCAAACATCTTAAAGTGAGTCTTACCACTGCACCCATTCTGGTGTTTCCCGTTTCATCAGGAAAGTTTGTGCTGGACACTGATGCGTCGAATCAGAGCATCGGAGCGGTGCTCTCACAAATACAGTGGGGTGAAGAGAAGGTCATCTCATTTGCAAGCTGTGTCATTACACCAACACAACAGCGATATTGTGTCACACGAAAGGAACTCCTAGCTGTCGTTAGGTTCACACGACAGTTCCGTCACTATTTGTTGGGGTCCAACTTCATACTGAGAACGGATCACAGCAGCCTGACATGGCTATACAGGTTTAAGAGACCAGAAGGCCAACTTGCAAGATGGCTTGAGGAGCTCAGCCAGTATAACTTTGTTATTGAGCACAGAGCAGGTAAACTTCATGCCAATGCTGATGCTCTGTCCCGAAAGGTAATGGACGAAGGATTGTGTGACTGTTATCAAGCAGGAAGAGAGCTGGATAGCTTGCCGTGCAAGGGCTGTAAATTCTGTCAAAAACTGCATCATCAATGGGTGAAATTTGAGAAGGATGTTGATGATGTTATTCCCTTGGCAGTAAGACGCACACACTCCCTTAATTCTCAGAATGAGAGTAGTCACACTGACAACCAAAGTCCTGTAAATGAAATACATGCTGCTAACTCTGTTTTCTCCCCAAACTGGCTGGAACCACTGAGCCTTGAGACTCTTAGGGAAGAGCAATTAGCTGATCCAGACCTATCCATTCTCAATCAATGGATGGCTAATGGTTCTTTACCTGCCAGAGAAGAGGTTATGATGCTGAGCCCAGCGGTTCGCAAGTACTGGTTGTGTTGGTTTTAAGTGGAGTCTCGAGATGGAATCCTGTATTACCGTTGGGATGATGTCGCTGGAGGCATGCCATCTCTTCGCTTACTTGTTCCAGCTTCCCTTAAGAAGGAGATTCTTCATGCCAGTCATAATCCGGCACAAGCAGGCCATACAGGAGAGGAAAAAACACTTCAACGTCTTTGTAGTCAGTATCACTGGTACAACATGGGAAATGATGTACACCTGTTTGTCAAGATGTGCCCACAATGTAGTTCTTGTAAGATCATGAGTCAAACTGGGAGGGCTAGACTTCAGAACTACCAGGCTGGAACACCAATGGATCGGCTTCATCTTGATGTCCTAGGCCCATTTCCGGAATCTAAGTCAGGCAACCGGTTTATCCTTGTCATAATTGATCAGTTTACTCATTGGGTAGAAGCCTTCCCTATTCCTGAGCAAGGAGCCGAGACTACTGCAAAGAAGTTGGTGTTTCACTTTGTTTCTCAGTTTGGAGTTCCCCTGGAAATCCATACGGATCAAGCCCGTAACTTTGAGAGCTCCTTGTTTAATGAAGTTTGCCGCCTTTTACAAGTTACCAAGACACGAACCAAGCCGTATCATCCAGCTTTGAACGGCCAAGTGGAAAGATTTAATAGAACCTTTTTGCAGATGATAAGGTGCTATGTGGTTCAAAATCAACGGAATTGGGATAAACATCTCCCCCTTCTTACTGCGGCATACAGGAGTACAGTACATTCAGCGACAGGGTTCACACCAAATCAACTGATGCTAGGACGAGAGGTTTTCCAGCCACATGACATCTGGCTAAGGACCACTGAAGTTAACAGAGAAGCAAAAGAGACACCTGAGTTTGTTCACGAGTTACAAGCTAACCTTCAGCTGGCACATAAAACAGCCCGCTAGAACTTACACTCTGCCCAGACTCAACAGAAGAAAGTGTATGACTTACGAGCGAGAGAGAAGTCCTACCAAGTGGGTGATCTTGTCTTTGTGAAGGTCAGTAGCCGAAAAAAGGGGTACAGCCCAAAACTGCAGGCTCCGTGGCAAGGGCCATTTGTTGTTATGGAATGTCTGGGGCCAGTACTTTACAAAGTCAAAGACTGGCGAAGTGAGAGAGTGCTGCATCATGATCGTTTACAACCTTATCTAAGTGATCACATACCTGCATGGATGCAGAGGCTGCGTAGGAAATTTACATGCACTGAGGAATGCCCTTTGATTGTGGACACTGCCCAGGAACATGTAGTGGCAGAGGTAGAATTGCCCGGTCCTTCACACTCAGACGACCCACTTTTGGACACGCCACAGACCTTTTCTAACAAGGTTCCAGATTGTGGTGGAAAGGAAGAAATGACAACAAAAAGGGGATGACTTGTTCGCGTTCCAAGTCATTACACAGACTAAACTGAGAAAAAAAAAAAAACTAAAGAGTGAGGACACTTCTTACCTCCCTTGTTAGTGCAGAAGGGACTCTGCCAGCTTAAAATTAGAGGGGGGTGGTGTTGTAGTGTTTAATAGTTAACAGACAAGAGAACTTTTATTAACCTTACGGCTACATTACGTTACGTGCATTAGCCAATCCCATTGCTGTTTTGTCATCACGCGGGAGTTAGTTAGCTGTTGTATTTGATGTTCGTTCAGTAGTATGCTCGCAGGTTCTAGTGTGGGTGGTTAATAAACCGCTCTGCACTGGGCAAGAGCATTACACGCTGCTGTGAAGGTGTTATTTAAGTAAACATTTGAAATGGATTTCGGTTGTTGTGTGCCCTTCTTCACGCCTCCACAGACACTTATTACACCGATAGTGTCGGGTTAAAAGCACAACAATATCTTACTGTATTTACAGTTTTGGTCTGCACAACAGGTTAAACTGTCTATATCCAAAGTGTATTTTATGTAAACCTCTTAGGCACAGTTCACTTAGGCTGTACTCACACTAGGTACAGTTGCCTCGAACCGGGCCAAAGCACGCTTGTCCCCCCTCCCATCTCCCCCGACGGCCTGCACTCACACTACAATCGGGCCTGGGCACGCTTACGTCATTGATGCTGCGCTGTTCAGTGAGAAGAGCTCTTACTCAGCAGCACAGTGGAGATTTCTCCATAAAGTTAACCTCCACTCCACAGCTGCCCTGTCCTGACCTATTCATGCATCTCTAAGGACCGAGCTGTCCCGGGAGAAGCTTGCTAATATACAGAATTGGACTCAAGGCCTTCTGGGCGTTCAAAGCATTTGCAGACCTGGACAGATTTGTCCAGCCCATCACCCCCTTGTGCTGGAAAAGGGATTCATTCTCCCTATGAGCTATCAACCAAGGCTGAACCTGGACGGGGGCGTCCCGCGAGTCACTTTTAACACTCAAGGCAGGGATAGTTTGTCCCAATTGGAACGTAGCCAAGGCAGAACCTGGACGAGGGCATCCCACGTGACACTTTTAACACACAAGTTAGGGCTAATCTGTCCCAATCGGAACGTAGCCAAGGCAGGACCTGGACGCAGCAGGCATACAGCGTTGAACTAAGAAGACAGGGCTCATTTTTGTCCCCACTGAATTTACTTTTAACACACAGATAATAAATAAAAGGAATAATGAAGACACTGAACACCATTTGACCGTTAAGTTGTACAATATTTATTCAGGACGATTCAGAGTCTTCTGTTTGTTCGAGCGGGCGAGCGCCCTGGCTTTTCCCTTTGGCAGGGCGCCATGGCAGCGTCCTCCTGCTGGTTCCCTCCTGGAAAAGAGACACATAAAGGGAAGTTAGCCAATGCCATACGTTCTGCTGTCCACGCCAAAGAGAATGTGATTTTTACCAGGGGAGAGACGGAAGTCTCTGTCCTCTTGCGCCCTTTCCGCGGGGGGCTTTCAGTGCCCGCTGCCTCCCCATCCTCCTCCTCCTCCACCAGGGCCCTTTCAAAGAGTCTGCGGCGCTCGCGTGCTTGGAGAGGTCCGAGGTGAAGTGCGTAGAACTTATCTGAGGTTGAAGTGTCATGGCACATGAATTGCGCCACCTTGCGGCGATCCTCTGAAGAGTGTGCATTCTTTGCCTGCGTCGGAGAGAGACAGAAGCTTGATTAGGATAGAAGCCGCCGCTGGTAGTTACAGGGGCGTCACAATGCCTACTCACATGAGTCGCGATCGCAGTGCGTACGTCAGTAAAGGTGGGTTTGCCTGGAAGGCCCATACTGAGCCAAGCAGACTGAAAGTACTTGTTCAGGGTCCGACAAGGACTGGCTCTGGAAGTGAAAAAGAAATAGGTAGCCTGGCTCCCTCCGGGGAGACCAGCCCGCAGCGCCAAAAACCTGCGGAACCAGCTGTATTCCTCCCTGTTTAGGGACAGCTGAGCCGCCCCAAAGGCTCTGTTTGTTTTGTGAGTGGTAATCTGCCATCAGAGAACAAGCAGTGAGTGAGTGAGTGAGTGAGTGAGTGAGTGAGAGAGCATGCTACTGGTGACCCCCACCTTACTTGCGCCATACTCACGTTAATGACATAAGCAGACTCGTCGGGGCTTCTGGAGGCCTCTTCAACCTCCTGGATTGTGAGATTCTGGAAGACTCCACAGCGGTGCCCAGAGATGGAGGTTAGATAGCCAGTCAGAAAGCCATAGAAGCGCCACTGTTGCCTAGTGCTTGGGTTGGATTCGAGGCTATCTGGTGAAGGACATTAGACAGATTAGACCACCGACGGTTCTATTTCCTTTCTGGGTCACCAACAGCTCTTGGCTGCTGGTGACTTGTTCTCCGGGGCGCCAGCAGCTCAAACAACAGCTGTTGGTGCCCCGGAAGAACGAACAGGGGGAATCGCTGGAACGGCGGAAGGGCTTGCTTACCTAGCAGGGCGGGAATTTTCCTCCCAGCGGTCCGGTGACAGCGCACCAGGCTGGCCTTGGGGATCAGTCGGCTTTCCTTCGCCTGCTTGGTCCTTACCTCGTGCACGACGACACGCCGGCGTATGCCGCGGATGAGGGCTCTGACCTCCCTTCGAATCAGAACCAGAGCCGTGCTGGAGAGCTGACAGGCGGCCGGCGGCGTCTCCGAGAGGTAGTCTAGGAACTGAGCCACGTTCTTCAGGTAGTGCTGCCTGGTGGACTCGGCCATGCGCGTCTGACCTAGCCGGGCGGCCCACGCTCGGATTCGGGCTGGTTGGTTGAGGAAGAGGAAGTCCCCTGGCTCCGCAGTGCCCCTGGCCATGTAACCAAGGAAGGCTTTGATTCTCCCCAGCTTCGAAGTGACGTTGTTCCGCAGGCGGGGGGTGGGCTCGCTGCCCAGTTGGTACCCTTCGAACTCCCCCAAGAGAAGGTCTGTGGAACGAGCACAACCAAGAGTCAACTTCCCCGAAGCCACACACCCAGCAGAGCGACAGTGACGTGCCTGAAATATACTCAACTCAGCGCGGGGACGTGGTCCGGGAACGGGTAGGCAGTGGGCTCCAAAGCCTCCGGAGGCTCGGGGGGCGTCGGACCTCCGGCCGTCCCTCGCCCGGGAGGCGGTGGTGCAGGAGGCGACCTGGTTCTCCTGGCCCTCTTCCTCCTCCTTCTCCCCCCTTCTCCCTTCCTTAGCTCCCGGTAGAGGCGTGTGATTTGGAGCAGGGTGGACCGCATCTTGGTAACCTGTTTCCCCAGGTCCGTGAGCTGAGCCTGTATGCGCTCGGTGGCGCGCCTGCAGCCGCGGTCGGCGCACGGGCGGCCGGCCTCTGGGTCCTCCGAGTCCCGCTCCCCCTCGGAGGACGATGCTAGCTGGGACACGACAGGGATTGCAGGCTGGGTGGACCGCAGCCACTGCAACTCCCGAGCTACTTTCCGGCGTTTCGCCCTCCCCATAGCCTCTTTCCTTCCCGAGGTCGAGAGCTCCGCGTGCTGCCTCAAGTGCCTATCTAGGCGGGCTGGCGTCCGGCGACATCCCGGGACCGGGCACGGTGTCTTCCGCGTGTCCACGCGGCCGGCGGCCAGCGCGAGAAGCAGCCGCTTCTCGTCCGAGTTGGCCACCTTGTGAACGGCCGTCAGGTGAGGCGCAAGCCGGCTGTAGACGTTGAAGCATAGGGCACATTCAGCCATGACCGTGCCAGAGCCAATGCAGAGGGGGAAAGGGGCCCGCACGCCACGTGCGGCGGTTAATAAACGGCCGGAGGCGGCGTCCACTTCCGCGTCATGACGTTGGTGGACCCGTATTTCTTAAAGGGGAAGGACACCCCCCCGCACCAGGAGGTGTAAGCCGATGCCCTACGGAGATCCATTCGGTTCAAGCCTTCTTTTGTTACGACTTCTCAAGTAGGGGGGAGAGGGGTGTCCACCTCATTCCCTTCCCCCCTTTTCAAAGGAACCAGAGGGGGTGTCCCGTTAAACAATTCACCCCACCGCCCCTTCATCGTTGCCCCGGTCAGCGGTTCGACACCTCTCTCTCTTGTCACGACTCGAGTTGGGGAAGGGGTGTCCCACCTCACTCCCTATCCCCCCTTCATTTTGCTGTTCTGGCCAGCGGGAGCTTTTCCACAGCCATTCACGTTCACTTTTTCCACCCCAAAAAGGGGATTGATTGTTTGAGCCCCATCGGGGGGGGACAGCTCCACACGCGCCAGCCGCGGGAGCTTTTGTGACCTGCTACAACCAACATGGGATACGCACCAACCATCGAAAGGGGGGTCCAGACAGCCCGTAACCCCGGCACCACTGACCCTGGCACGTTTCACCTCGCCGGAGTCCACTAGCTTCCCCTCCCAACCAACCACCCTCACTCCCCCGGGAGCAGGGTAGGCGGGGTGGGGGTCAGCCGGGAGCCAGCAAGGATAAACCCAGGGGGTGGGCGGCGTTGCGGGCGGACGGACGGGATGCAGACGCACACACTCGGGCGGGGGTAGAATCGAAGCCCACACCAGCTCGTTCCCTACGCTGCCCCTGGGGCCTCGATTCACCACGCCGGGTGACTCGACCGAACCCACCGAACATCCCCCAGCCCTCGCAGGGCGAGGGGCGTGGGGCGGGGGCACGGGCCGAGTATCGGCGCGGGGGAAACGGAGTCCAGGGGGGCGGGCTGGCGGGCAGGCTGAGCAGCAGACAAGCTCTGGGTCATTTAGCCAGACGGGCCATCTGGGTCCTTTACCCACAGATCGGGGCGGGAAGGGGGGGCGCTGTGTGCGGAGGGACACCCCCACGCCTCCCTGATAGAGCGCCCAGGACGGGGAGGATCTGCCACACCCATAGAGGCCGACCCCATTGGTGCTTTGGGGGGCCTGGGTGGGGGCCTAGCCCCTGGGGCGCCACACTAGCTCCTATCGATCAGTCACCGTGGGGTCTGGCAACTGGACTGCCAGAGACTAAGTCCATATTTCTTCGCCTTCCCCGAAACCCTGATGGCAGGTCAGAGATTGTGGGTGTCGGGCAAAAACCTCCAGGCGCGGGACGTCCCCACAAGTAGGCCGGGAAGGGTGGTCTCCCGTCGGGCATGGTTTGGTGGGCTCGGGCCTGGGTCTAACCAACGCCCCGGTGAGCGCCAGGCATAACGTATTCCTGTTGGACCTTTGGCGCTAGATGCGTAAAGATGTGCCGCTGGTGAACCATTGATGGAGCCGCTGGTGAACCATTGATGGGGCCTCTGAGATCCAGCGGTGGGGGGGGCCTGTGCCTTGCGCGCTCTGCCCGAGGTACACGCACCCTTCTTGGGGAGCGAGCCCAGCCCCTCTCCCTGGCCTGGGGCCTCTGAGATCCAGCGGTGGGGGGGGGCCTGTGCCTTGCGCGCTCTGCCCGAGGCACACGCACCCTTCTTGGGGAGCGAGCCCAGCCCCTCTCCCTGGCCTGGGGCCTCTGAGATCCAGCGGTGGGGGGGGCCTGTGCCTTGCGCGCTCTGCCCGAGGCACACGCACCCTTCTTGGGGAGCGAGCCCGGCCCCTCTCCCTGGCCTGGGGCCTCTGAGATCCAGCGGTGGGGGGGGCCTGTGCCTTGCGCGCTCTGCCCGAGGCACACGCACCCTTCTTGGGGAGCGAGCCCGGCCCCTCCCCCTGGCCTGGGGCCTCTGAGATCCAGCGGTGGGGGGGGCCTGTGCCTTGCGCGCTCTGCCCGAGGCACACGCACCCTTCTTGGGGAGCGAGCCCGGCCCCTCTCCCTGGCCTGGGGCCTCTGAGATCCAGCGGTGGGGGGGCCTGTGCCTTGCGCGCTCTGCCCGAGGTACACGCACTCTCCGGCGGCAAGCGCTGGTTCCAAAGGACCCCCTAGATTTGCACCTAATCACCAGCCGTGCCCGGGCACCCCACTATTAAGCCCGGGGACACTAACTCCTCCAAACCGCATGGATCAGACAGACGTGCTGCTGGTGACCCAACTGGCCAAGACGTACCGCTGGTGACCCAATCGGTCTTTGGGTTTGTGGATGGGTCACCACCGGCCCTGGGCTCGTGTATGGGGCACCAGCCGCACTTCGTTCTAGCCTCCGTCTGCGATGGGGTCTTATGTTTGCTGCGGGGTGACGGACGCTGGGAGACGGGTTAGCAGCTCAGAAATGGACCCTTGACTCCCGTGGACCCCCTAACTCCCATGGTGTTCAGACCACTGGCCTTGCCCGGGTTTGAACGCTTGTTTTGGGTTAGCTTTGCTGGCCAAGAGGCCTGGATCCTTGGAAGGACCAGGGCAGCAGTGCGCACTTGGTTTGCCCGGATTTGAACGCTTGTTTTGGGTTAGCTTTGCTGGCCAAGAGGCCTGGATCCTTGGTAGGACCAGGGCAGCAGCGCCCACTTGGTTTGCCCGGATTTGAACGCTTGTTTTGGGGTAGCTTTGCTGGCCATTGAGGCCTGGGTCCTTGGTAGGACCAGGGCAGCAGTGCGCACTTGGTTTGCCCGGATTTGAACGCTTGTTTTGGGGTAGCTTTGCTGGCCATTGAGGCCTGGGTCCTTGGTAGGACCAGGGCAGCAGTGCGCACTTGGTTTGCCCGGATTTGAACGCTTGTTTTGGGGTAGCTTTGCTGGCCATTGAGGCCTGGGTCCTTGGTAGGACCAGGGCAGCAGCGCCCACTTGGTTTGCCCGGGTTTGAACGCTTGTTTTGGGGTAGCTTTGCTGGCCATTGAGGCCTGGGTCCTTGGAAGGACCAGGGCAGCAGCGCGCACTTGGTTTGCCCGGGTTTGAACGCTTGTTTTGGGGTAGCTTTGCTGGCCATTGAGGCCTGGGTCCTTGGTAGGACCAGGGCAGCAGCGCGCACTTGGTTTGCCCGGGTTTGAACGCTTGTTTTGGGGTAGCTTTGCTGGCCATTGAGGCCTGGGTCCTTGGAAGGACCAGGGCAGCAGTGCGCACTTGGTTTGCCCGGATTTGAACGCTTGTTTTGGGGTAGCTTTGCTGGCCATTGAGGCCTGGGTCCTTGGTAGGACCAGGGCAGCAGCGCCCACTTGGTTTGCCCGGGTTTGAACGCTTGTTTTGGGGTAGTTTTGCTGGCCATTGAGGCCTGGGTCCTTGGTAGGACCAGGGCAGCAGCGCCCACTTGGTTTGCCCGGGTTTGAACGCTTGTTTTGGGGTAGCTTTGCTGGCCATTGAGGCCTGGGTCCTTGGAAGGACCAGGGCAGCAGCGCGCACTTGGTTTGCCCGGATTTGAACGCTTGTTTTGGGGTAGCTTTGCTGGCCATTGAGGCCTGGGTCCTTGGTAGGACCAGGGCAGCAGCGCCCACTTGGTTTGCCCGGGTTTGAACGCTTGTTTTGGGGTAGCTTTGCTGGCCATTGAGGCCTGGGTCCTTGGTAGGACCAGGGCAGCAGCGCGCACTTGGTTTGCCCGGGTTTGAACGCTTGTTTTGGGGCAACGGGGCCCTCGTTAGACCCCTGGTTCGTTCAACCGCGTAATCGAAAATTGCACTAAGTCCTTCATTTGAGTCTGTTATCGAAATCTCGACGGCAGGTCAGCGAAACCCAGGGATGCGCTACCCCCCCTCCAGGCGCGGGTCATGCCGGAGAGAGTGGTCTCTTTCCGGGCATTGCTATGTGGGCTCTTCCCCTGGTCCAACCAACGCCCCCGGTGAGCGCACTTAGGTCTCAGCTGGTGCGTAAATGGTGCCGCTGGTGAACCATTGGCCTCCGAGGCTTCATGTCACGCGCTCTCTGCCCAATACACCCTCACTTATCCCGGGCAAGCACTGATCACCAAAGACACCCCCCCCCCCCTGGCTCTTTCTGACCCATCGCTTACCGTTGGTGACCCAAATAGGCCTTTGCGCGCGGTGGACTGCCATGGACCCCTGACTCCCATGGTGTTCAGCCCACTTGGTTTGCCCGGATTTGAACGCTTGTTTTGGGTTAGCTTTGCTGGCCAATGAGGCCTGGGTCCTTGGAAGGACCAGGGCAGCAGTGCGCACTTGGTTTGCCCGGATTTGAACGCTTGTTTTGGGGTAGCTTTGCTGGCCATTGAGGCCTGGGTCCTTGGTAGGACCAGGGCAGCAGCGCCCACTTGGTTTGCCCGGGTTTGAACGCTTGTTTTGGGGTAGCTTTGCTGGCCATTGAGGCCTGGGTCCTTGGAAGGACCAGGGCAGCAGTGCGCACTTGGTTTGCCCGGATTTGAACGCTTGTTTTGGGGTAGCTTTGCTGGCCATTGAGGCCTGGGTCCTTGGTAGGACCAGGGCAGCAGCGCCCACTTGGTTTGCCCGGGTTTGAACGCTTGTTTTGGGGTAGCTTTGCTGGCCATTGAGGCCTGGGTCCTTGGAAGGACCAGGGCAGCAGTGCGCACTTGGTTTGCCCGGATTTGAACGCTTGTTTTGGGGTAGCTTTGCTGGCCATTGAGGCCTGGGTCCTTGGTAGGACCAGGGCAGCAGCGCCCACTTGGTTTGCCCGGGTTTGAACGCTTGTTTTGGGGTAGTTTTGCTGGCCATTGAGGCCTGGGTCCTTGGAAGGACCAGGGCAGCAGCGCGCACTTGGTTTGCCCGGATTTGAACGCTTGTTTTGGGGTAGCTTTGCTGGCCATTGAGGCCTGGGTCCTTGGTAGGACCAGGGCAGCAGCGCCCACTTGGTTTGCCCGGGTTTGAACGCTTGTTTTGGGGTAGCTTTGCTGGCCATTGAGGCCTGGGTCCTTGGTAGGACCAGGGCAGCAGCGCGCACTTGGTTTGCCCGGGTTTGAACGCTTGTTTTGGGGTAGCTTTGCTGGCCATTGAGGCCTGGGTCCTTGGAAGGACCAGGGCAGCAGTGCGCACTTGGTTTGCCCGGATTTGAACGCTTGTTTTGGGGTAGCTTTGCTGGCCATTGAGGCCTGGGTCCTTGGTAGGACCAGGGCAGCAGCGCCCACTTGGTTTGCCCGGGTTTGAACGCTTGTTTTGGGGTAGCTTTGCTGGCCATTGAGGCCTGGGTCCTTGGAAGGACCAGGGCAGCAGTGCGCACTTGGTTTGCCCGGATTTGAACGCTTGTTTTGGGGTAGTTTTGCTGGCCATTGAGGCCTGGGTCCTTGGTAGGACCAGGGCAGCAGCGCCCACTTGGTTTGCCCGGGTTTGAACGCTTGTTTTGGGGTAGCTTTGCTGGCCATTGAGGCCTGGGTCCTTGGAAGGACCAGGGCAGCAGCGCGCACTTGGTTTGCCCGGATTTGAACGCTTGTTTTGGGGTAGCTTTGCTGGCCATTGAGGCCTGGGTCCTTGGTAGGACCAGGGCAGCAGCGCCCACTTGGTTGGCCCGGGTTTGAACGCTTGTTTTGGGGTAGCTTTGCTGGCCATTGAGGCCTGGGTCCTTGGTAGGACCAGGGCAGCAGCGCGCACTTGGTTTGCCCGGGTTTGAACGCTTGTTTTGGGGCAACGGGGCCCTCGTTAGACCCCTGGTTCGTTCAACCGCGAAATCGAAAATTGCACTAAGTCCTTCATTTGAGTCTGTTATCGAAATCTCGACGGCAGGTCAGCGAAACCCAGGGACGCGCTACCCCCCCTCCAGGCGCGGGTCATGCCGGAGAGAGTGGTCTCTGTCCGGGCATGGCTTGGTGGGCTCTCCCCCTGGTCCAACCAACGCCCCCGGTGAGCTCATCCATAGCGTTTGCCAGCGGTCGTTCCAAAGACCCCCCCCGCTAGAGACCCACCATCCCCCAAATGAGTGTTAGTTGTTTCAAACAGCAAAAAAATAAAATCAATGCATTTCGTTTTCAAAATGATTTTTTTTTACTTTCTCTAGTTATATCGTTTCAGTCGTTTTATATGCAGTGACATTCATTCAAATATTTCCCCAAACAGTCATTAGGGATGCGGTGACACGCAGTCAGATATTTCGCCGAACAGATCCGCCACTTTTGGCACTCATAAACAATCATAAAGCCCTCGTGCTGCAGGAATGAGGAGGTTTGCTGAAGCCGTGCAGCTGTGGTGCAGTGAGGGGTTTGTGTCTTTAATAAACTACGGCAGTTTGCATTCATTGAACAGTAAGAATGATTAATAAATCCATATGAAACAGTCCCTTAAAGTCACGTCTCACTTTCAGTTTCGGGCTTTGCCGCGTTTTGCACTCACACTACAAACGTACCGTGCCAAACCCTAAGTGAACCGCGCTCAGGCCCACCTCTTCCAACCGGGTCAGGGCCAGCCAAGGGAACCGTGCCTGAGCCCGATTCAGCACACTCACACTTCTCAAATGATCAGCGAAACAGGCCTGGTCACGGTTCGGATAGCATAGTGTGAGTCTCAGA